CTGCGATGCAAGGGGCACCATCTAAAATCTTGCCTAGGGCACCAAATTGGTCAGAGCCGGCCCTGGTTATTTTACTAAACAAGTAACTATTTAAATGGTTCTCTTTCTTTCTTTAATAAATGAATGTTTGTTTTATAGCAGTCAAGAGGGCTTGTCGCGCTCTAATTGCAGTGCGGGCATCCGCGTTACCACCTCAGGCAGCACCTCTCGAACCCAAAGCACTTTCACTCCTTCTCTAGCATTGCACTTTGATGAAAATCTCATCAAGCATGTTCAAGGCTGGCCTGCAGAACATGTGGAGAAGCAGGTACGAGCATGCCTTTGTCTCGTCAATTGTTCATCGATCTTCTAATGATCAAACATCAGTTCTCCAACTATTAAAATTATCTTTATCTTAAATTCCTGTCACCCAGGTGTCACGGTTACGTGAGGATATCCACAATATGGGAACCCTCTACATGTCAGAGATCTGCACCGAACTTAAGAACCTTCGTTCTTTAGTGCGAGTATGTGAAATCCAGGCCACATTGAGAGAGCAAAGGTCTATAACCCCAATTTAGATTAAATGATCAAATATACGTAATTAAATGACTTTTTATGAATCTTTTTTCTTCTTTTCACACAGGATTCTGTTTCTGAGACAGCAGATCAAAGAACTTGACAAACTGAAAAATCAGAATTCCTTCATGGTTTGAGAGGTGGCTGTGGAGCTCATGGCAGTCTCTCTTCAAACATGTCCAGCCCCTGGTTGTTTGGACCGCTGCTCTCAGTCCAAGCTCTCAGATTCGCAGTCAAACTGTAGGCTGCAATGCCTGAAATGGGACAGAGAGAAAGGAAGCTTATAAAATGCTTATCAAGGCAACACAAGGCCCTGAGATGATAGATTATTTTCACTGTCCTTTGACATGTATTGCTTCTCTATTTTCAGATCCACAGGTGATTATAGACATATTCAGAGAGCGCTCTCCAACTCAGACTAACCTTTGAGGAATCATGCAGTCGATCTGGTGATTCATGTGCTGGTTTTTCAGGGTTATACCTGTTAACAGATCATAAACTTTACTGTCACACTGGAGACCTAATATCCCCTTGTCCTCCAGTGACTGACAGTGATCATGAATGATGTCAGAAGGGCTATCTGTGCACAAGGACGCTTCCAGCTGCGCAGGCATCTATCAAAGTGACCAACTAAAATAAACCCAATGTACTTAGTGCTCATTCTCAAAAGTTAGGCATGACTGGCTGATTCTCTGCCCCTCAGAAGGATTACATAGGATGCATAAGTGATCTTCCTTAATTCACAGCAGAAAAATAAATGGGTGGTAAAGATTTCTGAATAGGTAACGTGGCACTTAAAAGCTTTTGCTGAAGTGGTAGACGCACATTTTCTGAGTTTCTGGCCCTGATGGGGTTGTCACTGTCTGCCTTCAATGTTTTTTGATCTTTGCAGTGCTGTTACACATCTAACAGAGATTATTTTTCATGCTGCACCCCAGCACTGTTTGACTTTTTTTGTATTAATGTTGTTTTGATTTGTTTGTATTTGCTCAGTTGTTCTTTACTCAAAGAATTGTTAAAGGAACACTCCACTATTTTTGAAAATAGGCTCATTTTCCAACTCCCCTAGAGTTAAACTCGGTTAGTTTAGCGTTTTCGAATCCATTCAGCCGATCTCCGGGTCTGGCGGTAGCACTTTTAGCTTTAGCTTAGCATAGATCATTGAATCTGATTAGACCATTAGCATCTCGCTCAAAAATGACCAAAGAGTTTCTATATTTTTCCCATTTAAAACTTGACTCCTCTGTAGTTACATTGTGTACTAAGACCAACGGAAAATGAAAAGTTGCGATTTTCTAGGCCAATATGGCAAGGAACTATACTCTCATTCCGGCGTAATAATCAAGGAACTTTGCTGCCGTACCATGGGTGCAGCAGGCGCAATGATATTACGCAGCGCCTGAAAATAGGCTTATTGGAAGTTACCTAGCTGGGGACTATTTTCAGGTGCTGCGTAAAATCATCGCAACTTTTCATTTTCTGTTGGTCTTAGTACACGATGTAACTACAGAAGAGTCAAGATTTAAATGGGAAAAATATAGAAACTCTTTGGTCATTTTTGAGCGAGATGCTAATGTTCTAATCAGATTCAATGATCTATGCTAAGCTACAGCTAAAAGTGTTACCGCCAGACCGGAGATCCGCTGAATGGATTCGAAAATGGTAAAACTTAACTGTTTAACTCTAGGGGAGTTGGAAAATGAGCCTATTTTCAAAAATAGTGGAGTGTTCCTTTAAGTCATTCCCATATTGCCCGAGTTAGGAGGATGCAATGAGAAGATGCCATATTTTATACATGAGCTGTGGTTGCACATCAAAAATGCATCCTTCATGGACCAGGAGGACCACAAGGACTGTCCAAGCTGACCTACTGGGGGAAGAGTATGGAGAAGTACAGGATCAGATCACGTTTTTCCTCATCTTTTACGTAAAATATCAACCAGTCTATAGAAAAAACTGTAAGCATTTAGTCAACTTGTCATTTTGAGAAGGATGTGAAAAAAGGCAAAACTGGTGATTCCTCTTTGATGTTTGCAATGTCATTCATAGTTTTGCTTCATTGTTCTTTCTGTCTTCACTGCCCTCTGATGCAGGGTTTGAAGTTAGACCAATTTTAACTCTATAGACTGTAAATGGAGTTCACTTTCAGAATAGAGATGGGTATGTTGCTTTGTATATGGTTTCTAAAACTAAAGGAAATAAACGATTACCACATTACATTTTGGTACATGTTTGCTTTTTTGCATTGGTTTGTTTAAGATGGTTTGCATGCGATGATGAACTAAAAGAAGTCAAACACATGATAAAGAGTTTGTCCATGTTCGCCCTCCTGTGGAACAATGTTTCACTTGCATTTGGAATCTGACGGTTAGTGTTTTGAGTTATCTGTTCAGAATCCGGCATACTAATAACCTTGTAAAATGTATGTTTTGTAAGTAGTAACCATTTGATAAAATCAATATATTAGATGCATTATATATAGTTGTGGTCATAAGTTTATATATACCTGCAGAATCCGCAAAATGTTAATTTTAACAAAATAAGGTTAAAAAAAGTAACCATTTGATAAAATCAATATATTAGATGCATTATATATAGTTGTGGTCATAAGTTTATATACTTGCAGAATCCGCAAAATGTTAATTTTAACAAAATAAGGTTAAAAAAAAATGTTTTTCTTTAATACTGCACTGAACAAGCTGTTTCACACAACAGATAGGCCTACTTCACAAATACTTAAGACAAAAATAAGAGCAGAATTTTTAAAATAAAAATAATATTTACGTAAGCTTGATTCTTCATGCGATGTTGTTTTTATGTTTTGTGATAGTTGTTAAAGGGTCTAAACTGCTCACTGTTCTAAAGAAAAATCTTCCAGGTCCTAGTTTTACAATATCTGCATATTTGAACCCTTCCAAAAGTGACTTCATAATTTTGAGATCCATCTTTTCATTCTGAAGACAATTGAGGTGCAAACGTTTACTGATGCTTAAGAAAGTAACAAAAGATGCAACAACAGATTTTTGAAATGGATAACTGCGGTAAATTGTACTTTATCCTCTGGGGAACATAAATAAACCTTAATGTATATATTTATACATGTATAACCTATATTTGGATATATCCTAATACAATTTTGAAATAATTCATGTATTTAAACGTGTGTCTATTTAAAGGGGTCATGTGATGCTTTTTTAAAGATCATTATTTTGTGTATTTGGTGTAACAGAATATGTTGACATGCTTTAATGTTCAAAAAACACATTATTTTTCAAATACTGTTCATTATTGTAGGTCCTCTATGCCCCGCCTCTCTCAAACACGTCGTTTTCTACAAAGTCCCTCCTTCCGACAAGCGCAGTCTGCTCTGATTGGCCAGCTGACCCAGTGCATTGTGATTGGCCGAACACCGCAAACACTTGTCGGAAATGTAACGCCCCTTACCATAATCGCGAGCTTCATCTTTCAAAATAAATGTAAAGACAGCCTGAAAGGGGAACAGAGTCGCGTGACAGACACAGTGATGAAGCTGGTATGTGTTTGCAGTACACAAGCCATGGTTAAGACAGCTGACTCCACTGTGATGTGACTGCCCCCCCACCTCTCTCTCTCGCTCTCTCTCTCTCTCTGGCTCGCTCGCTTTGCGTGAACATTTGGGCGGCATTACGCAAATATTTCCACATAGTGAGGTAGATATGTGGGGGCGTGTTAGAACGAGCCGTTTTAGGGGGGCGTGGCAGAGTTAACTTTGATAAAGCTTATCTCTTTGGTTTTGAGACTTTAGTCTTTGCAATTTCAGGGATCTTATCTATGCACAATCAGCTTGTAACACTCCAAAGAGAAAGGAAAACTTGAAATCGCATCTATGACCCCTTTAATTGTAATAGGGTTAGCTTTGCTGTGACATATCTACTGTTTTTTTTTTTATTATTAGATGAAGAGAAAATAAGAATTCTACTATTGACAATTGGTATTTTTAAACTACAGAACGAGAGTTAAGCTGTATTAGCTGTAAATGGGCACATGGGGAGGCAACAGTCACAACTCACACGCTTGTGAATGAACAGCCCTAGCGGCTCGATGACTCTTATAGGAGGAGCTGCACTCATTCTCAAGTCTTCAACATTTAAGAGCACTCAAGCGGAGTATATACAGGAGATTATCCTTTTGAACAGTTGTGGATTCTGAGTATTTCGCATCCGAATTAAAACAAAAATGGATTATATCTAACATGTCTTTTTAATCTTTATTCAAACAACCGCACGTAGGCTTTTCTGCGCACAGATGATTTTATCTGGAAGTCTTGAAGAGCAGCGAGGACTGAACCACGATGTGATCATTTGTATCCAAAAATGTTACGAAAAGTTTTGAACGAAGCAAGTTGGAACACATTGTGGACAGTGCTACAGTGTTTTTGGCTATAAAGTCCGTATCGATGCGAATCTGAAAGGCAAAGAACGTGTTTTGTCCAATGCAGCGGAACAGCAGTCTCGTTTCCATTTGGCTTCAGCTCGAGCTCTGCGCAATGGCTGTTCTTCTCACTAAAGGTGAGTGAATAACTGCTCGTATGGCCAGAAGAGTTTCCAAATTGATATATTTATGATTCAGTGGAACTACAATTAATTGCATTTGTAATAAAACCAACTAAGTGTATTTTTGATTACAAATTTTGTGTATTAATTTTATTATTACGCAGCAATTACACTGTGAACGCTAAAGTAAAGTACGACCAAAGGTTTTTGAACACCTAATTGTTTTTTAATTTTTGATTTTCCACTGCACATTGTTTTGCATTGCTGGGTTTGTGACATAAATTAGCACAAATATCAATGCTAAATGTCAGAGCAATTATCCGGAGCAGAATCTGTACAAGAACCGAATGCCTTAAAGCCAAATTCCAAACATGGGATCATATAACCTTTTTTTCTCCATTTGAAAACTAGGTTTTAAACAGGTTTTACGTTGGAAAATGAATATTTAAGTTCTTCTAAGTTTTCAGTTTGAGTGAAGTACATTCTATCAATATCAGTAATTTATCCTTTCTTGTAACAGGAGAAATACGGTGTTACTGTGATGCCCCCCACTGCGTGGCCACCGGCTACATGTGCAAATCGGAGCTGAATGCCTGCTTCACCCGCACCTTAGACCCTCAAAGCACCAAGTCTCCTTTATCTCACGGGTGTTTTGACCCTCTGTTGAACTCTGGAAAAACTTGCCATCCAGAGTATGATACCATTCATGGATCTGCCACACTTCAGTGTTGCCATGAGGATATGTGCAATTACAGAGGCCTGCAAGATGTCACATACAGAGGAAGTGAAATTCATGGTACAAGAATGAGTATTCTTTAGTTATTGCTAGTGATAGACATAAATCAGCCAATTTTTATTTCAGTCATTAACTCTGCCCACTTGGCCTGTTAATATAAGTGCCTATTGAATTCTACCAATTTATCATCTGTGAATTACCTACAAACAGTCTTGTCAATGATTAATTCACAGCTTTTGTTTTCAAATATTTTGGGGAATTTTGAGATATATGTGCATTGATTCCTAGCACATGTTGTGAAAGGAAACGTTTAAAATGTTTTAAAAAAAAAAAAGAAAAAAATAATAATAATAAAAAAGAAGTTGAGAAAAAGTTCATTTTCAGAATATCCGTTGCATCTCAATTGTTTTACTTTTATGAGCCATGCTGGTTTCTAATAATATTACTGTGCATGGGCACATGGGGATGCAAGATCTGAACTGGAGCTTCATTATCAAATTTACAATATTTAAAAACAACTTTCCCTCTGTGATTGATAGATGGTTGTGAAACAGAATACATTTCATTTAAATGGTTAGTTCACTCCAAAACTCTCACCCTTATGTTGTTACAATCTGTATGACTATTTTAGAAAAAAAAAAATTTCTCCAATGTTGTTTTGTACCCCATTGACTTTCATTGTATGGACAAAAACATTGAAACATTCTTCAAAATATCTTCTTTTGTGTACCACAGAGTATCATACAATTTAAAAATGTATGTCAATGTTTTTCTTCAATTGCTACATAAAAATATGGCTCTAAACATTCTCTGTTCTTATTCAGACAAACGACGACATCAAATCGAAGGCAGCCGTCACGTGATTGCGCGACTACAGGAAATCCCTTCCTCCAAGGAGGTATGGTTCCGTGCTGCGGTCATCGCCGTACCAATTGGTGGTGGCCTCATCTTGGTTCTCCTCATCATGCTTGCCCTGCGTATGCTTCGCAGCGAAAACCGCAGACTGCGACAACAACGGCGAGAAATGCTGTCTCGCCTTCATTACAGCTTTCATGGCCAACACCTCACCAAGGGTCATGTGGCCAAACTGGACTTAGAGTGTATGGTTCCAGTAGGAGGCCATGAGAACTGCTGCCTGACCTGTGACAAGATTCAGCAGTCCGATCTTAGCAGCCAAAGACTTCTTTCATTGGTCAGCTGGGGAAAGTACAGCGGCCGAAGCAAGCTGGAGTTTGTGTGATGGCTTTAGAATTTGCTTTCCTCAGTGGGACTTTTTTGACTAAAACAAACTTTTTTATTTTTTTTATTTCAACCCTTCTAAAGGAGGTACTGCAAACGAGAACTCAAAAGAGAACACTTGAAAGCTCTAACCATATGGTTGTTGCTCTAGAAGCACTTTACTTGAATTAGAGACTTGAGAAGAAGCCTGCTTGTATTATAGGCTGCGACAAAGAGCGGCTACGTGCTGGTATTCTTTATTGCCGAAGGATTCCAAAAAATTTATTTTGGTTTTATCATTTGCACTTTTTGTATAAAGAAACTATTGTTTATTTGCTTTAAAGGGGTCATATGATGCTGCTAAAAAGAACATTATTTTGTGTATTTGGTGTAATGAAATGTGTAAATGGAAATGTGTTAAGGTCAAGAAACACATTATTTTCCACATACTCTACATTATTGTTTCTCCTCTATGCCCTGCCTTTCTGAAACGCTGATTGGCCAGCTATCCAGTGCGTTGTGATTGGCCGAATTCCTCAAGCGTGTGACGGAAATGTTACGTCCCTCCGCTTCGTCCATGGTGAAAGCCGATCCGGCGATCGACAGCAAAGTTGAAGTATTTCCTCAGCGACCAGCACGGATCAGCTCTAGGCATGACGAAGCGATATCGTCCTCTTTTGGAAGGCCAAACAAAGTAGTTTCGCTTTCACAACGAAGCACACAGTGCCTTCACGACATGGCGGCGGCAACAACAATACTACAGCGAGAATAAAAGTTACGTCTTCTTTCTTTGCGTGAACATTTGGGCGGCGTTATGCAAATCTTCCCAGATAGTGACATAGGTATGTGGGGGCGTGTTAGAACGAGCCGTTTTAGGTAGGTGTGGCTGACTTTTAACTTTTATAAAGAATATCTCTTTGGATTTGAGACTTTAGTCTTTGCAACTTTACAGATCTTCTTTATGCACCAAGAGCTTGTAACACTCCAAAGAGAAAGGAAAAATTGAAATCGCATCATATGACCCCTTTAATAGTGGAGTATGACCAGTGTGTCAACACTCAGAAAAATGTGTAAAAATTGTAGGGGTACAACATCTTGTCACTGGGGCAGAACCCTTAAAGGGAAATTCCTGTACCTTATTTACCCCTAATAGTTTCATAGAGGTAACTTAAGCGTGCATATTACTACTAATATACACTTTTTATGGTTAGATAAGGTCCTGGTGACATGCTGTTGTATCAGTAAGATACAATGTTTTGCTACTTTTTGTTTTTTTACAGTGAATGATGACCGCTGGTGTGTGAATATGTGGCGTCTCACTGTTAGAGGGACAATTCACCTGAAAATTAAAATTCTGTCATTATTTACCCACTCTCATGGTGTTCCAAACTCAATCAAATGAGGTTTCAGCTGTTTTTGTCCATATAGTGGAAGTAAATGGGGTTCAAAAAGTTCAGTCTCCAAAATGGACATTAAGATAGTGTAAAATTGTAATCCATCCATACAAGTAATTCATATCTATAAATACAGTACTTTAATTCAAGTCTTCTGAAGCAATATAATCACTTTGTACAATGAACAAGCAAAAAAATCTCAAATCATTGATAAACTTATATTTACACAGCCCAAATCAAATATGATGACATGTCAATAAAATTAAACCTCATTGGCGTGTGTGCCACGCCAAGGAGGATAAAAGTTTTGGACTTTCATTGTATGGACAAAAACTTACAACTGAAAGTGAAATTTATTTGTGTTCCACATACGAAAGAAAATAATAGATTGGAATGTCATGAGGCTGAGTAAATGATCACTGAATCTGTACCTTTTTGATGAACTATGCCTTTAACATTCACCAGTCACCTCTGACCTGCTTGTTGATTGTGCTCATTGTAAAGATGTTTCACTGTAAATATTACGTTCAAAAAGGAATCAGTTTGGCATTTTGTGTCTTTATTGTCTCTGGTTCGATGAGATTGCATTGGGTGGGTGAAGCTGAACAGCACTAAAAGTATTCAGTGTTGTGTACAATATTGACAAGCTCATTATACCAGGAGGGAGAAGTCTTGACTAATGCGTCCTTATTTCAACACATACACAGTTGCAACTGCTCGACTGAGGCATTGGAATCATTAGCAGCAGCATAAGGGCATGGCAGTGTAGTGTGGTAGCTATTACAATCATGTCTTGTTTTACAGTAGCGCTACACGTCTGACTGACTCATTCCCCAGGCCACAATCACTCAGCCTCAAACTCTTTCACTCGGTTTCTTTGGAAAGAATTCAGATCCTCTCTGTAAACTTACCCTCACACTACTTATCGTTAATTCCATTGGACTGAATGTGCATTTGGCACTGGTTTCCAGTGTAAATTAGATTTTATGTTGGTCTCCTTTATTTAGTAGGTAGTGCAGTGGGTCCTAAAACCCTTCTACAAATAATCCCTCATGACAGCACACCGTGTCTCTTTACCCATGTTTTATTTTTGCAGGAAATGCAGTCAGTGCACTTAACATTTACTGTCATTTTGCATTTTAATTCTTTTTGAGATCCCAAGTCTTAACAGTGTCTTTCATACGCTTCCTCAAAAATGTGTCCCTGTTCACTTTCCAAGTCATCATGGCACTGCACACTTGGCCTCTGGCTCAAAAAGTTACCAGTTGCAGTGAATGGGATAAAAGGCATGTTCCTCTGACAGTAATAAAAGGAAACTTCCATGGTCCACATATATTTTAAGACATGAACTCAAATTCTTTAATGTGCATTTTTGCAGAGGTTAACATCATGGTCGGAGAACAGGCTTTTACGGCTTTTTGGTGGTGCCACTTATTCCAGGGGGTTTTAGAAACCTTTTGCTGAAATCTGTGATTATTTCACAGTGAAATATATTTATGAATTAATAACTTTTAGTGAGTCCTATATTGGTCTTATTACTGTCAGGTTTCTATTTGTGTAAATCCATTACATGATATTTTAAATATACTAACAATTCTCTTCATTAGTACTGTAAATCTTTATGACCTGTTTACAAAAGCCCTCAACATGTCACACTTACAGTACAGTACATTCTCATCCTATGAAGTGCTAAATTGCCTGCTCAAAGATGTCAGATACTATCAAAGTGTTTACGTGAGTCTTAGAAACCGAAGGGAGCCCAGTGTCTCTCAAATCAAATATGTTAAAGGAATCATAAAAAAAACAAAACACATTAACTTAGCTTTCTCAAAACAAGTCTGACCCCTACCTTTTTGCCTTGAACACTATTAAGTGAGAGGGAATGTTTGGTTTCTGTGTCAGATTTTTTTTTTTTTTTGTGACAAAACACATTAACTTAGCTTTCTCAAAACAAGTCTGACCCCTACCTTTTTGCCTTGAACACTATTAAGTGAGAGGGAATGTTTGGTTTCTGTGTCAGATTTTTTTTTTTTTTTTTGTGGGGTGGGGGGGTTCCAAGACTCCCTCAAATCCCAGGCCTGTTCAGAACATGATCAGCAGAGCAAGTGTGCACTTTGAACTTGGAGTGTGAGGAATGTGGATTAATGCATGAGCGCATAGCAAGTCTCCTCTTCAAGGGCACACAGGCCATTCTCTCACATATAACAGCTGAAATACAGAGGCACATGCCCAGAATGAGGTAGGCTATATTAGTTATGTGTTTATCAGTTAAACATATCAGACATGAAAAGTTAAGATTTAATTCTGTGAGTTTAAGAACTTCTTAAGAACTCTTAATTTGTATATTTGGATAAAAGCACATGCAGGCAAACAACAGTAAATATAATTTAGCTTTTGAAAATCTTTAACTTGAGAAAGTGAGAAAGATGTTTTGAGTGTGATATGCATTATTATGTGTATGGCAAACTACTGAAATCAGCTATAAGTGTTGGAGTCTCACTTGCTTTATTGAAAGGTAGCTTCCTTTGCAGACAGTAGGGCAGCTTGCTAGGTTTAAGAACAGAGCCAAAGAATTGTCAGAGCTTTGAGCATTAATGACAGATTGCAGAAAAAAAAAAAAAAACAGTCATCTCAAAATGAGTAACTGTAAAAAGACATTTATGAAAAATCTAGAATAAAAGCTCAGCCAGAGCAAAACCTTTGTCAGGTGGTTCAGAAAGAGCTGGACCAGCTTCTAAATCTGCAATATGTTTGGTGAGCTCCCTTTTTCTCCAACCTTCACTCACTCCAACTCTGCTAACAGACAGGAAGTACTTAGTCACTTGGTGTTTACATCAGAAATTGCAGATATTCTATACCCGAGGAGTCTCACACTTGTAACTGTTTGATGTCCACCTTTTGATTTTTTTTACTTGTAGTAGTCAAGAAAGTAAAAGGAAAAATATTGTTTTAAGCTCAGGCTCTTTTGATCCTCAAATCAAAGAACAATTAATATGTATTATATCACCAAGCAGGGGCAAACTCATTTAAAGTTTGTTAGCACTGTAATTTTTCAGCTTTAACTGCCTAGCTGCTAACATTTATTTTGGTGATTTAAGTATTAAAATTTAAGTGATTTGAACGAAACAAGCAATTGTTATTACAAATATGAGTCAAACTGGAGCAAATTTATTAATTTTTAATTGTTTTAAAGGGAGAAACGGTATTCTTATAAAAAGATAAGAATTATGTTGACAAAGCAGGGATTGAAGAACAACAATCTGAAAACCCCACATAAATTAGGATTAGAAACATAAAATTCAGGGAGTGTAGCCCAACCAGCGCCCCCTGGATCTGGACCCTGTTGTTCAAGAGGGGTGTGGAAGTTGGATTTGGCCATTTTCTTTTTTTTTTTTTTGTAACTACATAGAATAATAAAAAAAAACATCTTAAAAAAGTAACACTCACTAAAATGTCAGACTCTAAAATTAAATGAAATAAGTTGTCATATCTTATATGTTTTCAACACAAACAGTAAGATACAGTAATATATTGTATGTTTAGCTAATAAACAACTGGAGACATTGGAGCCACGTTGAAAAACCAAACTGTAGAATGTAGAGGGTTGACAGTCTATGAGCACGAAGCG